TGCAATGTCTTTTGAAATCAATTAGATTGTATAGTATTGATTATCCTTTATGTCTAGCCTTCTGCTCTATTTAGAGGTTGCAGAATAATGTGGCACTTTTTCTTTCCTGTGAGCAGATTTTGTTTACTTTTTGAAGTGAAGACATTTTCTTCCTTCCGTTACCACTCTAAAACTCTAAAGCTATGCACAGCTGACCCTGCAGCCCCCCAAGAGTACAAGGGAGCTAAGGTGAAGACCTCTTTCTTCCTTTCTCTCTCTCCTTCCTGCCTTCCCCCCTTCCTTCCTGCCTTCCTTCCTTCCTTCCTTCCTTCCTTCCTTCCTTCCTTCCTTCGGAGCTAAGGTGAGGACCTCTTTCTTTTTTTTTGGTTTGTGTTGGGTTTTTTGAGACAGCGTTTCTCTGGTAGCTTTGTAGACCAGGCTGGCCTCAAACTCACCGAGATCTGCCTGCCTCTGCCTCCTGAGTGCTGGGAATAAAGGCATGCACCACCACCACCCAGCAAGGACCTTTTTTCTTATTTTAGTCCTGAGAACATGCAGTATTCCATCTCTGGAGAAGACATATTTATAATCCACACAAAACAAATATTAATTTTTTAAGTCAGCTGTTTTGCCTTTGTGAGTTAGAAGTACTCAGTGACCAGAAAATTAAGATGCTATCTGATAAAGAGCTTCAGGGCCAAAGTTTGAGTGGAAATTAGGTTAATATCACAGTGGTGGTGCGGCAGTGGTGGCGTATGCCTTTGAACCCGGTAGAGGCAGGTGGTTCAGTGTCATCTCCCCAGGATGACCTTCCTGGTGAGGACATCTAGTCTGGACACACTGGGATCAGTTTATCTGAAAGCTAGAGAGTGTTAAGTAACCTTTGTGGATTTGAATAACATTTATTGATTTTGTAATTATAAAACCATGCCTATTACAGAAAGTCAGGAAATAACTAAGAATAAAGAAGGAAGGCTCTTACTGACTGACGAGATGGCTTCACCACCACCACCCCTTTGTCTTTTTGAGACAGGGTCTCGATGTGTAGCTCTGGCTGTCCTGGAACTATGTAGACCAGACTGTCCTAGAACCCTCCCAAATGCTGGGGTTAAAGGTGTGTGCCACCAGGTGTGGCTAACCCTTTACTTTTTTTTTAACCTTTTTTTCCCTTACTTTTCATTATCAAAATGGGCAAAGGCAAGGAAGGCCTTTAGACAAGTGGTTTATTTTTATTTTTGAAGATTCATTTATGTATGCAGTGTTCTGTCTGTATGTCTGTATGTCTGCACACCAGAAGAGGGCACCAGATCTCATTACATATGGTTGTGAGCCACCAAGTGGTTGCTGGGGATTGAACTCAGAACCTCTGGAAATGCATCCAGTACTCTTAACCTCTGAGCCATCTCTCCAGCCCCTTTAAGCCAATGTTAATAGCCTGTTTTCTGCTACACGGGGTACAGGTATGACCAGGTTGCAAGTGTACAGCTCATCCCTGCTCATGTTCCGCAAGCATTACCTTGTCATAAAGTTTGAAAAGTTGTCTCCTTATGTATCTCTAGTGATGTACTTGGGGGGAAAGATGCTGTTTCTTGTTGGGGTTATTGGAAATCTTACCCCTAAAACTGAATTTCTATGGCAGTTAGGCACTGTGACAGGCATATGGGACATACATAGCGTGAGTAGACTTATGTTGGCTATGACCATCTCATATGCCCATAATTAAACCCACACTCAGAAATAAAAGGCTGAAGGCAACAGGCATACAATATAAACAGACCGTGAGGCGTTCATTTCCATGACATGAGAGATCCTTATCGTGCTAAGCAGATGCCTAAAAAACGTGTAAACACCAGCTAAGAGCCAGAAGGTTCCAAGTTTGGCACCTCCATTTTCGGATTAGACTCCTCCTCTTGGTGTGGGAGGAGAAAATCACCTTGTTGGGCTCTACGGCAGTGCAGGAACTGGATTTGTAGAGTCAGTAACGTTACAAGCTACCTGGAAGGGCAGCGTGTGAGAACTGGAACATGTAAACAGCCCTCTTGGGGCCAATCTCTTCTCTTCCAGCATCAGGGTGTTGGCTCTGTTGAGTTCTGCAATCGTCCATCCCCAGGCATACACAAGCCTCGATGGTTTATCTTTTATCCAATCCTTGTGGACTTTCTAGGATTTCTTTGTGGTGAAAGTAATTTTCGAACTCCAGGTTTGGTACATGTTATCACTACTTTGTGAATAAATAAATGAGTGATCTTTGCCGAATATAAGTTGTAGAATCATGTTGTATGTAATGTACATATGAAGAAAGAATGTATTTTGCTCATTTTCTTAATAAAAAGTTATATATGAACACTACATAATGTCTTGCCAAAATTACTTTGAAACTTAAAAAGTTACATTTACAGGGGCTGGAGATAGTAGTGTTTGCCTAGCGTGCAGGAGGCTTCAGATTTGATCCTCATAAGCTGCAAGTGGGGTTTGTACATGACATTAATCCCAGTATACAGGAGGCAGGCAGGAGGATAATGAATTCAAGGTCTTCCTTAGCTACATAGGATTTCAAGGCCAGCCTGAGCCCCATGAGAACCTGTTTGTAATTATTTAATTCATTTTATGTGCATTGGTATGAAGGTATCAGATCACCTGGAACTGGAGTTAGACAGCTGTGAGCTCCCATATGGGTGCTAAGAATTGAACTCAGATCCTCTGGAAGAGCAACCAGTGCTCTTAACCACTGCTTCCAGCACTGAGAACCAGTTTTCCCTGGAGTGTTTGATGCAGGCTTTCAGGTGGGAACAGTGAGGCCTTGGGTGTTTTCCTCTGAGACAGTACTGAGGTAAAGGGCATGCTTGCCATTTCTGAGGAAGTTTCCATTTCTGCTAAACACTGGCAAATGGTTTCACGGGAAAAAAAATTAATCTGCTGTCAATCAGCAATTCATCGTCTTTTGTGAGTTTGAACTTGTTTCCTGGGGTTTAGTTGTACTAGTTTCAAAGTACATGGAAAACTAGACTGAAAAGGGAGAGAACCTAGCAGTATTCCTGAGTTTGGAAAAGTCTAGGTTTATATCACTGCTGTAAAGGAGAATCTTAAGGACCAGACCTAAAACATAGATTCAGAAATATACCAAGGGAGAGCATGGATTATTCGGGGGGTTGGGGAATGGCGGTGCTCCTTGAAGCAAGGTCTCCACCTGTCATCTGTTAGAGTCCAAATGCTCCAGGCTTTAGGGGCCTGCATAGTCAGGTGTGTATTCAAAATAGGGGTTAAATTTAACTTGAAAATCAAGCTCTTCCTGCATAGCTTTCATTTTTTAGGGTGTAATTTAGTATGGCTCAGAACTAATGTTTCTTTGTGTTCTCAAAACAGGAAGACATGAGGTACAGTGATAAGGTAAGAAAATTGCCCTTTCCTTGGTTAATCCTCCTGAGAATTAAAGGGATCAAAATGAGGAACACTGACATGTTTGTCACTATCTCCTGCGCGGAAGACAGCAGTAAACAAAAACCCTTTAAGACGCTCACTGCCCCTGTACAGTGAGTGCAAGCCTACAGATGGAAGACGCAGCTTTATGTGTCCACACGCTCAGTTTCTCTCAAGTGACAGCCCGAGGTCATGGAAATGGGGCAGGGTGGGGGAGTGATTGGAGCACTGTCCCTATGAGTGGAGGCAACATCCTTCAGGTTCGGTTGGAAAAAGAGCAGATGGCTCTGCTGGAGCAGTCGAACACGCCCTTACCACAGACACCGGACAGGGGAGAGAAAAACCGGGTAAAGGTGACCTGCCCACTATGCTGGAAGGGTTAGATGATTGGCAAATGTATGCCACACATATGGGACAGCTGCCCCTTGAGCTGTTTTCATCTCCACATCCACCAGAACCCGGCACATACTGTGGACCAGTCTCAGCTCTGCAAGTAAACATTAGCAGCAGATCATCTTTGTGAGGCTCCCGTGGTTTTAAGAGGACCAGCCATGTGAAAGATGTTCACTTGGTGTTTGTCCTAAGTGTTCACTCGAGTAGCCAGACCCCTCTCTTTTCCCCTTTTGGGTACAGAAGAGGTGGTTTGGGAGGGAGCTTACAGAATGGGAAAGTTGGGCAACTGAGAGGCTCTCTAGATTGTGAGGGCTGGGAGCCAGGTCAGTGACCCACTCAGGAAGAGAGCGGAGCCTTAGAGCTCATTTGTGGGCTGTGATAACTGTGAGTCACCATCAGAACAGTGTGCCCCAGCAGGGCCACGGTCCTGTGGGAGTTCCTGGCATTTGGTTCTTTTCTGTATCCTTGGCACACTCATGAGGTTAGCCTCAAAATACCCTGGACCTAACTCTGGCCCATCCCTCTGGGTGTCACTTGCCTACAGCCACACAAAGACTATTAAAGAAAAACCCACGGTAACTGCGGATACAATCTAGAAATGAAGTCTGTTGTTAGAACTCAAGCACGATAGTGGTATGGAAAAAAGAATCCAGCACTGAAAGGAGGTGAAAACATTATGATCATTGAGGTAGAGGCAAATTAAGAATATGGCCCAGATCTGCGGACAGTCCTTTCCCTCCTTGAAGCTCGCCCTGAGAAAATGTATCTTCTGGTCCATCAACTGCCTCCTTCACTGTGTACCGGGAGAAACAGCAGCTTCAAGCCCCTGCAGCAACCTTCCATGGTCAGAGCAGAGCGCTCCCTAACGTACCTGTTCTCCCGTGGCCAGTTTTTCATACCCGATAGTCATGGCCTCTTTCTTTGATGGTGGTCATCTGTAGGAATATCCCAGGGAGAAGCAAGGGGAGTTAAAGGTTGACAGGTCTGTAACCCAGTGCACAGGGGAAATGAGGTCCTCTCAGGTGCTGCATAGCCCTGGAGTCCTCTACTCCTTTCTTCCAATATGTCCCCCTTCTCCCCTCTACTGGCAGAAGGCAGCAGGTTGGATAGGCGGCTGTGGATAGGCTGTAGATAGATGCAGCAGGCATGGATAGGCAGACAGAGGCAGTAGCTAATGTCCTCAGGGGCGTGGGTGGAAAATTTAAGCCAGAACAACACACCAGGACCTGAACCAGCTTACACAAAAGCATTTTAATTGACAGTGTACAATTTTCCAAAATATATTTTATAAGAAAATGCAATAGTTAACTATAGTCTTTACAAATAAGTTTCTCAATAGATTCCAGTGTTCTTCAGACCCCTGTCCACTAACACAGGCTCCCCCAGTGTCCTGGGCAAGCTGGCTGACATTCACCAAGAAACAGAAAGGCCCCAGGGAACCTCAGGGAACAAGCCGCTGGTGACAGTGACAAAGGCTCCACTACAGGGGGTGTCCTGCCCTCTCTGCCTTGCTCTGTGGGATTCCCTTTAACCCTTGTTATATTGGACATTGCTCAGTAAATTTTCAAAATTGTTAGGGAGGAAAAAATATGCCTCCCCCAAACATGTATTTACATCTCAGACCCAAATGATTCCAAAGCTCAGCAACATGGCTGTGTGTCCCTTGTGTCCTCCCCAGCACTGCCAGGGTAAGTGTGGAGAAGGATTGGTGGTGTCCTGTGTTGACTTTGTACCTGTGAGTTGCACTCTTTAATTCCCTGTTCTTGAGGAACACACAACACAGGGTGGGCAGTCTGGGACTCCTGTTTTAATCTTGTCTCTGTCCCTGGTTGATTTTGATCCATTCACTTTGTGGCTTGGGATGTGTTTTCCCATAGGAAGATTGAACTGTGTCTTCCAAACTGTTTTCCCCGTGACCATCAGCCGTATAAACACATTTTGAACTCAGCCCATACTGAAGTAGGATTAAGACTTGGCTGGGGAGGAGCAAGGATCATATTTAAATTTTTAAAATACCCTATCTACAAAGTAAATACTTTTGTTACCAGCCTGTTTTGTTATAGCTCTCATTTTTAAAAAGTCATTTCTACTAAAAAGACATTTACATTCTTGTGGAGAGAAAAACCACTTAGCTGTCTCTTAGCTATCAAATGTTTTCCCAAAATTTACTCTCTGAAAGTAGTACAGGGTAAACAACCTCATGGCCCTTGTATTTACAATGTCAAAAAAATGCATACATCTTGTCAACTTCACCTTATTCTTCAAAGTTTCAACAGAAGGATATAGTCCAAAAGGGGGGCCAAACCTGATAAAGTTCAAAACGCCTGCTAGCTTTCTCTGTTGAAGGTTAGAAGCCTGAGTCTCCCAGAAGAGCCTGGATCCTGCCCTGAGATACGGATTGCTTAGCTTCCTCTCCTTTCTCTCCCACTCAAGCAGCAGCTGCTGGATTTGTTCAGTCGCAGTCATCAGGCCCTTGGGTTTGCAGCTGGGAAAACCATCTGCCACTGAAATGAAGAGTTCTGATTTCTCTTTGGTACAGCTGGTTTTAAAGTCTTGCTGAGAACCCTTCCTCTTCCTGTTCTCAGCCAGAGATTCTGAGTTAACAGACAGCTCTAAAAACCCAGTGGAAACAAAGCAAGGCGACTGTTATAGATGCTAGCAGTGTGTCTTGCAGATACCCCAGCAGTAAGAACAAGCTGGGGCCTGAGACCAGTCCTAAAAGGCAACATTGGGCGCACAAGGAGCTCTGGACCAGCCTGGTCAGAGCTTCCATGGACTACCCTGAACAGAGCCATGGCAATTCCTTCAGCCTGATATCCTTTATCTAATCTTGCAGTCATCTCTGAGAGGCTGTGGGGTTGCAACCTGTGACCATTTTGCAGAAATAGAATTTGCTGTCTGTCAAATGGCCTCACCCCCAGTGACTGTGACACTGAAGCAGCCTTTCACACTGATAGAACAGACCCACTGGTGACAGAACTTAATGCAGGAGGGAGAGACCTAATTTCCCTGGCACTGCTCTCTACCATCCCCTGCAATCTGAGAGAAGCAGCCGCAAGGCTGTGGCTTCCTGTTAGCATCTGTCAAACTCACTGAGAGCCTGCCTTGATTTCTGACAGCCTTTGCTGCCTGCCTAGGGAATACCACAGGGTGATGGCTGTAAAGGTGGAATCAGGCAGAGGACACCTGTTGTTGTCAAACCCCCACCCCCCATCTTTTAAAAACAAGCTACTCCGGGGCAGAGAATGGGTCACAGGAATTTATGTCCAAGAACAAAACAGACCAAGTTCAAAGCTCCCTACAGGCTCCCCCTTCTTCTCAGAACTTCTCACTATTCCAGCCCCTCAGCTGCCTTCCACATGGCCACTTGACGGCTAAGCCCGTAAAACTCCTGTGCTAGGTATTTAGGCATGGCTTTGTGTTTCCCTGAGATGCCACAAGAAACTCCACAGCTAGGGTGCCGCCACGAACACAGGAAACAAAAAGCCTGGCTCCATGCTGGGACTGTGGGCAGAGGCGCCTTAACTGCATGTTCTGGGCCTGCCTTTCTCCACAGCAGAGGAGGAGTGAGAACTAGTGAAAGAAGCTAACAGCATCTCCAGTGTTTGATCTGAGCTTTGGCCTCTGGTAGTGGGGAGCTGGACGAAACAAACACACAACACAATTCTCACAGCAGTAATGGCTGGTCGTTTATGCTGATTGTCTACTGAGACACATTTGCCAATCCGGGACCAGTCAGGGTCCCAAGACATGTCTGTCCCTGTCATAGAGCAATTGCTCTATGACACTGGGTTTCAAGGAGTCACCCCCTCAATGGAGCAGTGAACAAGAGAAAGGGAACATCTGGTTTTCAGGAGCTACTGCATTTTGTTCCTTGTGGGAGCAGAAGGCCAGAGGACACCTGGGGGAGTGTCTTCTAGGGGTGCCCTGGGTGATGGGCCAGTGTCAGTATGGAATCAGCTGCCACGGGGAAGCTGTCTGCGCATGAGCCCCCTTACCTCTGCCCGCCCACCAACCCTTTCGGCAGACGTCCACCGAGGAGTGAGGCCTGTGTGGGCCAAGTCCCAATCACACTGAGCACAGGCAAGGAAATCAGAATCTACAACAGGAGGTTCAAAGTCGTGCCCTGGGAAATGGTGGCACTAAAGACTGAATCGTGGGAGGTGGGATACAAGCTAGTGGAGGCCACATTATAGGACATGGAAAATTGGGACCTGTCCTTCAGACAGTCGGGACCTGGTTTTCTTTCTAGCCCGCCCACCTGCAAGTATCCCTCCTGCCCAGAACAGCCTTGAGGAGGGGCACAAAGGAACACAGTGGTATGGCCCGGTGCAGTTAAGCACCAGACTGAGGGAAAACAAATGTCTGTGTGACCCTGTGCAAGTCACCTGACCTCAAGGTCTCTGTCGTCGTCTCACTTAGTAGACGAGAGGACACCACGACTAGAGGCTCTCTCTCTCTCTCCAAAGCCCCTTCCGTGGCTTTCTCCATTTTCCTCTCGCCTTCCAGCGGCTCTGGGCTCAGGCACAAGTGGGTTATTTTACATGAAGAAAACAGAATGTGACTTGTGGAACTTGAAAAGGAAAATTTAAGGCCCTTGGGGACTGGGAGGGGCATCCCTCGGAGTCCACTCTCCCTCGCCAGTCTCTCCCTCCTCTAGTGGGAAGCCTTCCTCCTGTCCAAATGGCACTTTGGGTGGTCTGGAGCTTTGCTGTCCTGTTGGGTGGCCAGCAGCCTCATCAGAGATGTGTGTCTTCCTCTTCATCTAGGTCATCCTTGGTCAGGTTGTCCAGAGGTACGATCCAGCTGTCCCCCAGCTCCCCATTAAGATTGACCACCTTTTTCTCCTGCATCTCAGAAGGGGTCTCCATCACTTCCAAGGTTGGGTTGTCATGGTAACCATTTTCTACTGTCTGCAGCTCCTCGGTGAGTCGTTGCTAGAGTGGGGACAAAGACCCCGGGAAAAAAAGGCATTGTGGATAGCTGTGACCTTTAATAGACTATTTCCCCATTCTACCCAGGGACCCCAAGTTGGCTAGAGTAAATTCCTGTGGCTCATTTGTAGGGGGGCAGATGCTCTGGAGGTCACCCTGGCTTCCCCATATCCCAAAATTATCAACTGGTCTCCACCTTCATTCCAGTGCAATCTGTGGAGAGATTTTTTTTTTTTTAAGGCTTTTTGTCCTTAGGTTCTTTTTTGTCTCCTCCATCTCTCCCCTCAAATACCTCTCAAAGTTCTTAACTCACTCATAATGAAAACAAGACACCTTCAGACCGGCTGACAGGATGAGCACGGTGGGCCTTTTGGCCCTCCACGCTGCAGGTGGCAAGGTCTGCACTCTGAGATTTGGCCTTGGACACATGCTGCCACCACTCACACCTCATGCAGTGTCTAAGGTATGGAACTCTTTCAATGTTCCCAGTAGTTTGCAGCTGGGTTGAGACCGCAGCCCAATGGCACTATAAAGATGGCCGTTTTGTGTATGACACAGGGTCACGCTGTGCAGTCAGGCTGACCTCAGACCTCCTGCCTCAGCTTCTCAAGTGCTGTGATTACAGATGTATGCCACCACACCAGAGAAGATGGCGGTTCTAGTAGGCCAGGTGAAAGAAGTTGTGGTTAGAGGAACACTTGCCTAAGGCAGTATACCCCTAAATCTCCAGAGCAGCTCTGCAAGGTCCCTTCCCCTCTGTGCTGATGACAAGGCTGCAGGCTGAAAGTGACACACAGGATATGGACAGAGATAGGGCTTAAACCCAGGGTTTCTGCTCTGGTCACCACAATGAGTCTCCTTGCCATGCGGACAAGAGCCTCTCAGAAGGGTCCAGGCCCCCTCACTGTGTGGAGGGACTGAGTGAGCCTTCGCTGGGCTGGTTGCTCCCTGGCTTGAGGAGGAAAATGCCTACCTGGTCCTTCCTCTGGGAGATGCGCTGGTGACAGCAGCCATAGAGAGCAGCAACAAGGAGCAGGAAGGAGGCCATGCAGACAATGGTGATAATGAGTGGCAGGCTGAAGCGGTCCTCGTTGGCTTCTGGTGGTCCTTCCCTCCCCAGCATCATGTTACTGACTCCCGCCTAGCCGAGAAAGAGAACTTGAGTGACAGAACACGGAGTCCGGGCCTCTCATCTCCACCCCATCCATTTGTTAGCCCTTCCGGGTGGGTCCTTTGCCTCCTATGCTACCATGTCCACTCATACGTGCCTGGCAATCAGAGGACGCTTCTACACCAGAGGACACTGGACTTGGGCGTAAAGGACAAAGCTGCTTACCTCTCTCAGGTCATCCCATTTGTCCTTCAACCGCTCATAGACGACTTCAGGAGAAAGCTTCGCTGTGGGGGAGAAGGAGAGGCTGCTGATTCCAGGGCCCAGCCCAGGGGGCCACGAAAGGAAAGAGCGGGCACCCAAGAGGAGGAAGTCTCCCGGGATGGCTCCTGGCACCACCCACCCGGAAGCCGTCTTTCCGTCAGACTCCCGCCCACACGCAGGCGAGGGTCTCCTCACCCTGCACTCACTCTCAATGAGGACTCTCTTCACTGCCACTGCCCGGCTCTCTAGAATAGGTGCCACCTGCAGAGTGCACTGATCTTGGGCTGGCTTGAAGGAGGCTTTGACGGAATGGCAGAGCAGTTCCACGAGCTTTTCATCCGGAGGGCTCCCTTCCTATTGCACAGAGAGCACAGGTGATTCCAAGGTTGTGACAGCAGCTCGGGCTCACGAGGCTGCGCCTTCTCCTGTCAGTCTGCAAGGATCCCTGCTCCACGTTTCACCCGTGCTATTCCTGGACCGCCAGGGATCGAGTTTTGTATTCTCCTCTTTATCCCCTCTACCTGGCTTCAGCTTTCCCACCCCCCTCAGCCCGTGTGTGTTGTTCACGAGTCCTCCTCTTCCAGGTTCCTTTTCCTCCCTGCAAGTTCCCTGGGGCCCTGCACTGTCGTGCCTCAGCTGGGAGTAGGCTAAACCAGTGTACGGCACCCCACCACTGCCAGGATTTAAACCGGCTGTTCCCTAGCCTCTGGTGTCCATTTTACTCAAGTGGGAAGGCCACACAGCTCTCCGAGACAGTAAATACCCCCAAATAATATCTCTGTCCCCATCCATTAGCTAAGGCCATGCCAGAAAGAGGCTGACAGGGAAAGTAAGGCCACTGAGTGGGCAGTATGGGGTTCTGGGGCTGTCCACAGACCTAAGCGGAAAGAGCACAGAAACATGGCATGGGGGGTCTGATGGTGAGGTGTGGGGTATGGGGTCTGATGGTGAGGTGTGGGGTTTGGGGGGGTCTGATGGTGAGGTGTGGGGTATGGGGGGGTCTGATGGTGAGGTGTGGGGTATGGGAGGATCTGATGGTGAAGTGTGGGGTATGGGGGGGAGCTGATGGTGAGGTGTGGGGTATGGGCCTTTATTCAGTACTGTCAGTTTCACAGTTTCACAGTTTCACACGCTGTCTCCCTTCCTGACTCTGGATGAGGAGATGAGGTGAAAGCGTGAGATCTGGACCCCAGCACCCTTTAGGTCTCCCCCGTGTCACCCTCTACACTTTCCATGTGTGTTTCCTTAGGCCCAGGAGCACCTTACTCCATCACCAGGAGTGGATCCAGCACTTTACACCTTCCTTTTCTATAAAGGGGAATGAATGCTACCCACTAACTACGCAGTCTAAGGGCTTTAGCCTAAATATCATCTCAGGGACAATTTCAATGCTATTCCTATCTTCTCCTAAACCTCTGATGGCTAAATTCACGCTTTTATAGTTCATCCTGTAAGTGTCAGCAAAACAGAACCCCTGGAAGAAAACAACCGCAGAGTCCAAGGTCTCCATCCTAGAGAGGAGCCAAGCTCCTCAGTCCTTGCTCTCAGAAGTGGCTGCAGAAATGGGCGCTGGCCAGTAGAGGGCAGCAACAAGCCAGCCACCACTTGTAGGAGGAAGTCAATGACTATGTGCTGTGCAGCCCAGCCAAGCCCTTGGCCCCAGAAGACTGGCAGTGTGAAGGGAGCTGTACACATTGCTCTACCCTCTTATATATGCAGGGGACCAGGAAATCTGAAACCACCATTAGGACACAGGGTCATTAGTCAGAACTTAACTCTTTTCCAAGGTACTGGGAGATTAAACCCAGGACCTCACACATGCTAGCCAAAATCTTTATCTCTAGTACTCTTGCCATGGATGACCTCAAATATGTATGTCTATATATGTATTATATATGTAATACATACATATATTCTGTAGCCAAGTCTGACTTCAGCCCTCCTGCCTCAGCCTCTTAAGTAGCTGAAATTATAGGCCTGAGCCACATGGCCCAGCAAAACCTACCAATACCATAGTCAGACAGACTATGACAGACACACACACACACACATACACACACACACACACACACACACACACACAGCCACAGGAACTGCAACCAGGGTCTCCCGACTCTCAGACCACCTGGAGCATCAAAAGTCAAGGACCTAACTTAGAGAAGTCTGTTCCCTTAGAGGAAGTTCATGACTGGGGTGGGACAGGGGTGTGGGCCGTGTACTCACACAAAGGCTGGCTCCCGTGAGATTCAGAATGAGTAGTTCCTCGCTGGGCATGATGGCGGCCTCACATTTGAGCTGGAAGAGGTCAGAAGATGGAGGTTTAGGCACAAAGTCAGCTAATTTTTGATTCTCCCCTTCGTGGGAGTGATTGATCCAGGAAAAGCATACATGGAAAGGTGAGGGCATGGCCGGTCAGTTTCAGAGCCAGGAATGTACCTGGCTGCCCAGCTGTTTCCAAAGCCTGGGTTAGAACAGGGGGAGAAAACAGGAAGTGCCCACCTGGGGCCCTATGTGGGGCTAAGGAGTACTTCCCTTGAGTCGGGCCTATGCCATCTGGTGCTAGAATTACCTTATAATCCCTAAAAATCCAGACGGAAGAGGGCGTGCTGGGCCCTTGAGGGGCTGTTGAAGTCAAATTAGAGCTGGAGTGTGGGAACTCCTCAGTGGTAGACATGATCTCTGTTCCCACCGGAGACCCTGTAGTCTGCTGTGGTGTAGATAAAGGCAATGTAGAGATGCCGGGTATCTGGCTGGTGATGGGTGGAGTCCCTTTGGAGGTGCCCAGCGGTGCTGCAACAGACAAAGCAAAAGCTGAGGAGAGCAGCTGTACCTGCCACGAAAGCTGAAGCCAGTGGCTATGGAGGAACATGAGGCAGGAGTCAAGAACTGGGTCCTGGGCCATGGTACACCATGAGTCACTCAGAGGAGGTAAGAGCTGAGCAGAAGTCACAGACATGATGGCACAGCTCAGACCTGGAGCCACTTGCTTTGGGGGGGGGGGTTCAAAGGCATTGGCTCCTTTAGGAAGGAACTTCACAGCCCTGTGAACAAGGCAACCAAGGCTCAGTGACTCATCCAAGGTCATTTGGCACAAGTGGAAGTGTGGGGATTTGAACTCTGAGCCTGTGTACCTGCTGCAGGGTGTGGCCACTGTCTCCCAGGGCACAGGCTCATGCACAGCACCTGAGTCAGAATTTTAAGGCTCCTGAGCTGGTCACAGATTCTGACACTCATGTGCCCAATTAAGACGGGCACTTTAAAAATAAGAGAGTAAAGGGAAATAGATATAGGATCGGGTGTGAGGCTGCACACCTTTAATCCCAGCATTTGGGAGGCTGAGGCGGTGAGTTTGCAGCCAGGCCTCAAGGAACATAGCATAGCAGGTTCCTTCTAGGCCAGCCAGTCTCAGGTATAGAAGGAAGGGAGGGAGAGAAGAAGGGAGGGAGGGAGGGAGGGAGGGAGGGGGCATCAGTATTCATGATATACCCCAGGTCCTGGAAGCAAACCCTCCTTTTCCACTATATGGGTCTCTGGGATCCAACTCAGGTCATCAGGTTAAGACAGCCATGCACTGGCCTTTATATATTTATTTATTTTTCATTAATTTGAAAGCATGTTTCCCATGGTGGGTTGCTATCAAACAGGTCTGAGAAGCACTGTTCTAGAGTTTTCCAAGCCCCCACCACCATAACCACATAGGTTCTGGCTTGGTTGAATCTGTGCATTGCCAGCCTCTATCATTGCTAAAAAGGGAGCCCATAGCTAGGTCTGATAAAGGCAGAAGGCACACAGTTTAAAACTAAATGTACACCTCTAAATGCCAACTAAGCAACAGTGTGGGGGAAATGCACTGCCAAGTTTCTCTGTCTTTTCTAACATTTCTGTGTATGAGTGTTTCACCTGCGTATTTGTCTATGCACCATGGGTGCAGTGCCCAAGGAGATCACAAGAGGGCGTCAGACGACTACAGATGGTTGTTAAATGCCACATGGGTGCTGAGACTTGAACCTGAGTCTTCTGTAGGAGCACCCAGTGCTCTTACCCACTGAGGTATTTCTCCATCCTGTTACATTTCTTAGGGAAATCAAAAGCAGCTCTGCTATGGTGGTGCACACCTTTAATCCCAACACTTGAGAGGCAGAGGCAGGCAGTCTCTTGAGTTTGAGGGTGGCCTGGTCTACACAGATCAAGTTCCAGGACAGTCAGGGCTACACAGAGAAACCCTGTCTCAAAAAAACAGACAGAGAGACAGACAGACAGATGCAAAATTGCCAAGGAATGACTTACTGTGTGTGGTAGGTTTCCTTGGGGACACAGGGAAGCTAGGACTGGACGTGGGGTCAGAACTGCTGGAAACAACGGCAGAAGGGCTCTCGGTGGTGTGTGAAGGAGTAGCTATAGGCTGGTGAGAGCTTGTTGTGCTGTTTGTTTCGGAGGCAGGAGAAGACTTTGAGGTAGTTAAGGGGGTGGGAGGCTGGGAAGAAGAAGCATTAGCGGTTAGCTGGTCACTCCCCTGAGTGGATGCTGGGGTTGTGGAAGCACTGTCAATCTTGCCTCCAGAGATTGGCTGTCCCTTGTCAGTAGTGGTGCCAGTGTTACTGGATGGTGTCACTATGGTCGTCTTCTCATCCTGGGAACCACTGGGAATTGCAGTATTGCTGTCACCACTTTGATTGACACTGGAGCCTGGGGTCAATGCAGAAGTAGGTGTTGGAGATCTGTTTGGGATGGTTCCTCCTTTGGATGATGCAGTGGTTGGTTGGGCTGGAGAAAGTGTAGATGCCACTGATGTACCAGCTGTGGTTTCTGTCAATACTGTGCTAGTCTTTGTTGCTGTAGAAATTGTTGGATTGCTTGTAGTTTTGTTTGCATCAGACTTGCCAATGTCGCTTCCTGTTGATGAAGACCATACAGAATGAAGCCAGGTGTTAGCTGGAGTGTCTGTGAGCTTCAAGCTCATCCCCACCCCTCAGGCCCCCACTCATCTGTGGCACTGCCTTGCTGAAGCTTGCATCCTTCATGAGTCTACCATGAGTCTACCATAGCCCCTCAAGTCTACCAGGTGGCTCTACTGTTCTCCCCACCCCCAGCACCCAAATACCCTGGCCCTCCAGAAGATCACACAGACCGATGCTTACTGAGCTGCTGACTCTGTAACAACTACCGGCAGGAGCCACATAGCCTTTCCAGGGAAGGCACAGCCTAAGAGGACAAATGGATGACACACTGCAGCCACACAAATGCTCGCTCACATGGTCCCACTGTGGGCGGTGCTGAGGAAAAGCAATGTGCCTCGGTAGCTTCACGTAGGTGGGGGAAGGGGGTCAAGGAAGAAAGGCTTTTACTGGTTTAAAATAATGTCTATCGGGGCTGGAGAGATGGCTCAGCGGTTAAGAGCACTGGTTGCTCTTCCAGAGGACCTGAGTTCAATTCCCAGCAACCACATGGTGGCTCACAACCATCCGTAAAGAGTTCTGGTACCCTCTGCTGGCATGGAGGCATACATATAAGCAGAATGCGGTATAATAAATAAATAAATCTTTTTTTTTTTTAAGTTCATTAGGGCATTGTTACACGACAGGGTTTGTGGTGACCTACGTTGAACAAGACCCAGAACCTACAACCCCAGGGAGATGACATGAAAAAGAACAACTGAATGACAGACTCAGGAACTTCAGGAAGAATGAGTAAGGAGAGGAAATGGAGAGGATAAGTACGGGACACACAGAGTGGGCGTAGGGGGTGGGGTCAGATGACAGGACAGGCAGCTGTCTTGGTTTCAGGTCTCCTTGACCAAAAGCAGCTCTGGGGATAAAATGGGTTTGTCATGGACATAAAAGGGGTCTTGCTTCATTATATCAGGGAAGTTAGAGTAGGAGCTTAAGGCATCCTATCCACAGTCAAAAGCAAGGAGGATGAAGCCTGGGTCCTCGCTTGCTTGCTTGCTTGCTTGCTCAGCTAGTTGTCTTCTCTCTTAAACTGTTTAGGAACCTTGCCTGGAGATGGTGCTTTCCACAATGGGTCAAAAGACTGGTCCTGGGGGCTACCAAATCCCAGTGTAACTGATTACCTCATTTGGTAATTTCTCTAGCATAGAAATTGACCGTGACATTTGGTGTTGCATAGATATGAAGCAGACTACCCATAAACCTCCATCTCTGATGTCTTTCCCTTCTCAATAGAACCAACCGTTTTCCTGTCTAACAGAAGGACCACTCCTACCTTGCTTAAGGCTCACAAAATAATACACGACAGTGATAAATGGAGGATTACAACTTTTGCTCACCAGGACAGAGTGATCAATATAGGTACCCAGCCCAAGACCTTGCATTCCGTATGCTGGCTCAAGGTACCCAGCATTGGATATCTTGTCATAGAAAGACAAAACTGAATGGATTGTTACATTGGCAAGAACAGCCAAGAATAGTTGTGCAAGAAGAAATCCAAAGTCTTGGAGAGAGATACTGGTGTTATCAAGAGTCTCAGTTGGAGGGACTGGAGAAATGCCCTGCAAGCATGAGGACCCAAGGTGGGATCTCTAGAATCCATGTAAAGATCCATTCAAAATCACATGTCTGTAATCACAGCATTCCTACAGGGAGATGGGTGGAGAGAGCAGGGGAATCTGTAAGGTGAGGTTGCATGGAGGGACACACACACACACACACACACACACACACACACACACACACACAAAGACTTTCAAATTATCAGTTTGACTCCCAGCACCACATACACACGGTGATGGGCTTTTAATAATGTATACCCTGCTCACTTGCACACTAACTTTGTTCCCTGATAGTGCAGATAACACAACTCTTGACGAGGCTTCCAGCAACACTTGCCACGTGTGCTAAGAGGAACACCTTCTTGTGTCTCTCTAATGAAGACATAGTATAAATATTTGTCAGTCATGTTTTCACAGCTCTTTGGTTTTTGTTTTCTAATTGGTTCATAAAACAGCTATTCTCTTTCTTTTGCTGACTTTCTATTTTTTCAATTTTTATTTTTTTTATCATTTATGTTTGTCTAATTTTTATTGGTTTTTCGAGACAGGGTTTCTCTATAGCTTTGGAGCCTGTTCTGGAACTTGCTCTGTAGACCAGGTTGGCCTTGAACTCACAGAGATCTGCCTTCCTCTGCCTCTGCCTCCCGAGTCTGAGATTAAAAGCGTGTGCCACCACTGCCTGGCCAATTTTTATTTTTATAAGACAGAGTTTTACTCTGCAGCCCAAGCTGGCAGGGGACTCATGGTGACCGTTCTCCTGCCTCAGCCTTCTAAATGATAGAATTCCCAGCATAAGCTACCATGCCTGGATATTTGTGCATTCTATAACTGATGGTGCCTTGGATTTCATAGAAGTGGGGTGCTGTTAGCACAAAGTAGAGTTTTGGTGTGCCTCTCCCTCCTTAGCCAGATATGTTAATTAGACACTGATTCTGATTCTAGCTAGGGTGGAAACAAATGTCCCTGGAGTGTAGAATTTCCAGGGGGAAGACGTATGGGATTGGATACTCTAGGCAGGAAGAACGATATGGCAATCAGCACAACCTGCCAAAGGGATTTTAGAAGAGCAGCTAAACAACAAGTATTCTTAAAGACCAAAACGAGTGGGCAGGGCCCAACAAGATGGCTGCCAAGCCCAGTTGTCCTCTTACACACACACACACACACACATTAAAAAAAATAAAAATTGTGGGAGCTATGTTGAATGATGTTGGAGACCACCACCACCTATCTAGTTCCCAGGAGTCAGTGCTCCCACAGACAAGAACCTCTAGTGGAGCTCAGGTTCTTTTCTTAAAGGTGGCTTCATAGGGACATAGATAGACTGCCCCCAAGCTCCAGAAGTCTGAAGCGACTGCCCCCAAGCTCCGGAAGTCTGAAGCCCACGGTCCCATATTCCCTGTGAAGGAAAATCTTTCCTTGCTTCTTCCTCACAGTTCTCAACACTCCTTGGCTGATAGCTGTGTCACTGTGACTCTGTGACTCCATCAACATGTGACTTTTTTCCTTGCGTGCCTCTGGTTTTCAGGGTTGGGACCCAAAGTCTCTCGGGATACCACACAAACAATCGACCCCTGCCTGGGTACACTAGTACAGCCTGCTCTACTCGTGAGATTGCATTGTGACCTGATTACACCTGCCAAGACTGCGCATGCCTCAGGTCACACAATATTGCTGGCATGGATTTGAGTGTTTCACTCTGGGAGCCCGCTGTTCCAACTCCCAATCTATTTCTCCATATCCCACCAAGCCTGTGACAGCTTGTTTAAAATGCCACAACCTAGAGCCCTCTAAAAAGAGCCTCAGCTGTGACTGCCTGGATTAGGTTGGTCTGCAGGTACGTCTGTGCAAACTGTCTTGACTATAACTGATACAGGAAGATACAGCCCACTGTGGGCAGTGCCATTCCCCAGACAGGGGGTCAGGCTGTGTCAGACTCAGGAACAGCCAACAGGAAGCAAGGGTGCATCCCTCCTCTCTGCTCTTGACTATGCATGTGGTGAGAAACTCTCAAACTCCCAGCATTGTGACTTCCCTCTAGAGTATGAATTTTTACTTAGAATTGTACACAAACCAAATAAACTGTCTTCTCCCGAGGTGCCTTTTGGCCAGGGTGCATTATCACAGCAACAGGGATGAAAGGAGGCTGGTAAAAAGCAGGACTTTCAGTTCCAAACCCTCATAATCAACTCAGCTCAAGCACTGGTATCAACCCTGCATGCTTTAGGTAGGTCAGACTCAGTGTCAAGCCCTCCTGTGAGGTAGCCTGGGAAGGCCGCTGGCCCAACAGCAAGCACCACTCTACACCATTGGTTCTGTGAACAACAGAGACCAGACTCATTGCTGAGAGTTGTGGTCTCTGGGGACACTGTTGGTAAGTGCTCTACGTTTACTTTTAGGACTGAGCATGTCAGGGAATCCCCTTGGGTCCCATACATCTTCCTCCTGCTTTATTATTTAGTAGCGGGTAGAGTTAATGGCAACAAGTACATCTTAGGAACTCTGTGCTCCATACTTTGCTTACAGCTAAGTACTCTGCGTCTGCCATGGCTCTGAGGAAGGCATCCGAGTCCCCACATGCTGCTGCTACTGGAAGCATGGCTGCAGGGAGCGCGCGCGCACACACACACACACACACACACACACACACACACACACACACCTAGAACATGTGTGCTTTAGCCACCTGCCTGTATTGCAGCCACTTAGTCATGAGCCCATGGAGCAGCCATGAGGTGACAGAGAAAGAACTGACAACATATGAGCCCTGGGGATCAATGGTGTCAGACAGGCAGCTCCACCACTCTAGCCACATCCCACAGTGCAGCCCTGGCCTCATCCCTCAGGGTCCAGGAAGGCTGGCTTCTTTCTCCTTTCCTGCTCCTTCTAAACCATGGGCTTTAACCCTTCAGATACGGCCTGTGAAGCTGTTCACACGTTTCTACCTCAGTATACGCCTCAAATAAACAGGGTTAAGAACATGAAATGTACTAGGCCAAAGCCTTGGCCATTGAAGAAGTCTCTCTCCTACCTGCTCTCCCCTAATAGGCTATGACCCTGAAGCAGCCCACATTATCTAGAAGCAGGCTAGACACAAGCATCCAACTAGCTGACCATGGAGAACTAGCCTCTCTTAGGGACCATTGGGCCTGGGCTCAGATGGGACTTAACACACTGAGGATGGGCCCGCACTGCCCATTACCCTGATCTTTCTTAGTAATGAGTAAATTTTTGTTTAAACTTTGTGGTGCCGGGGAAAAAGCCCAAGACCTGTCATTTGATCATGAAAACTAAAAAAAGAAAGAATGAATTAATGCTGATAAAAATAAAAATCAAGGAAACTGAAACTAAAATACAAGAACAACACCAAATGCACAAAGGTTTG